CACTCCAAGATCTTGCACAGATAAAGAGAACAACTTCAATTGGAGAAGATGTTAGAGGCAGTGAAGTAAATTCAGTGGCTACTAATAATTCAATTTCTAGTACACACAAAGGGATAAGTCCAATGACAAGTTTGACAATGAAGGTAATGAACCAAAGGTTGAACAAGGCTTAAGAAAGTTGAAAATGTCTTGATTCAGGCAGTTTTACTTTTGACTTTCTCCAGTAAAAGTAAATGTTAATCTGACAAAAGTTGCGGTCTATCTCAGCCAATTTTATTGCTTTCCAAAAGTTTTACGTTTGCCTGCCGTTTTTGCAAATGGGGAAAAGGACAAAATGTAGTAAATTAAAACTTCTAGTCCTATGGAAAGAAAACAAGTAACACTTCCCCCCCCCAAAAAAAATAAAATAAAAAAGAAAACATACGTTGGGAAGCGTTATGTTGTTACTTGTCGCCAGCTCAAACAAAAAATGTAAACCTCCCGAGGTAAAACTTGTGTTAGGCAGTTTTACAGTTTACTGCTCATGGGTCTAAAAGCTTTCTGTTTTGCTCTTTTGTCGGGGACAAGAGAAAAAAAACATAAAACTGCCTGAAGGTTTGGGGGTTGTGCTTTGTTAGGCTTACTGGGCGAGAATACAAAAAGTATCAGTTCAATATTTCTGAAGACTCCGATATGGACTTGTTTTATTAGGCCTACGTTGTCTGGAGACACGATTCTACTTCAGGCAGTCCTAGCCCTCGACTAGTACAGGGAAAAGCAAACTACGGTCGTTCAAGAAAATAAATTTCCCACAGTCTCGGAGCGCAAAAACCTGATTTCTGTTCAACCATGAGTGTGTATCTATTGAAGTGCCAGGCACCTCTCAGCTGCGAATAGATTAGTTCAAGCTCATTCACAAAAGTGTAAAGGCCAGGAAACGGGCCTGAACCGTCTGAACATGAACCCAGTCTGAGCCCTACCGATTGGAAAACGCTGGGTGGCGGGCTTCATTCTGCAATCTTCGTTGCCACATCTTGAGGTGAAGAGTGCGATTGGGTGCGATTGGGTGCGATGGGGTGGGACTTGCCAATGGCACATCTCGAGGTGATGCAGCTTGGGTTCAACGCTTTTCTTGCAAATTGGCTACTAACCTGCATGGCTCCCCCATGTCCCGTGATTGATTGGTTCAGGCCCCTTTTTTGGCTAAGGCAACAAAACAGCCCCACTTGAACATGCTAAATTGCCTCAAAATCTACGCAGCAAAGCTAAGACCCCAGATATTTTACCACCCAGAGGCTCGGAAAAACTTGAGATTTCTTAACTCCACCGTAGAATTAACAAATTTGAGAGACTCTCAAAAACTAAAAAGGGATTTATTATCACACAACATAACCGTACAAAACGTCCTCTCCCACACTTTCGATTGCAGAGCAGGCGCAGCACCTTCGCAAGGTCGGTAGATAGACAGACTGATAGATAGATAGATAGATAGATACAAGAGAGAGATGAACTGAAAGATGAAAAGATAGGTAGAGCCGGTAATAGCTAGATAGGTAGGTGTCTCGAGATGAATAGGAAATAAATGGAAAGAAAGAGATGAGAGGTAGAGAGGTAGAGAGGTACAGAGGTAAAGAGGTAGAGAGGTAGAGAGGTAGAGAGGTAGAGAGGTAGAGAGGTAGAGAGGTAGAGTGGTAGAGAGGTAGAGAGGTAGAGAGGTAGAGAGGTAGAGAGGTAGAGAGGTAGAGAGGTAGAGAGGTAGAGAGGTAGAGAGGTAGAGAGGTAGAGAGGTAGAGAGGTAGAGAGAGAGAGAGATAGAGAGCAAGAGAGAGAGAGAGAGAGAGAGAGAGAGAGGGATAGACCAGACCAGACCAGACCAGACCAGACCAGACAGACCAGACCAGACCAGACCAGAGACCAGACCAGACCAGACCAGACCAGACCAGACCAGACCAGACCAGACCAGACCAGACCAGACCAGACCAGACCAGACCAGACCAGACCAGACCAGACCAGACCAGACCAGACCAGACCAGACCAGACCAGACCAGACCAGACCAGACCAGACCAGACCAGACCAGACCAGACCAGACCAGACCAGACCAGACCAGACCAGACCAGACCAGACCAGACCAGACCAGACCAGACCAGACCAGACCAGACCAGACCAGACCAGACCAGACCAGACCAGACCAGACCAGACCAGACCAGACCAGACCAGACCAGACCAGACAAGCAGGCAGGCTGACAGACAAACAAACACACCATCTGCCGAATTCATAGGTCAAATGGTGTACTCAAAACCATGTAAAGAAGCAAAAAGGCAGCTGCACCCACCAATGGTCGGGATCACTTCATCTACCGGGTTTTGGTTGTGACTCATTTGGGTACTTCCCAAAATAGGGCACCCCAAACAATGGCAGGGGTGTCCTTTCTGGTTTGCCTTCAAACCACACAAGAAGACCCTGGACAAAACACTCACCATTTTCAGCCCCTCTCCAAACAAAAACCCTCCTGCGCGGGACCACCGCATTCCGTGAGCTCCAACCTGCTGAAGGGCAGCGCTGAGCTCCCGGCCACACCCACACACCTGAGGGGATCACTGGGGTCCGTCTCAAAAGAGCCCAATGCGGGCGGCCTCCGAAAGCGAAAGCTTCCAGAAAAAAACCACGCCCCTAAAATCAAGCGAGCTGATCGCTGTCGCCCAAAAACCCAAAAAGGTTTTCTTTCAAAATGAAGTGCATCGGTACGCCGAGTGTTTCATTGGGGGTGGGAGGGGGAGGAAGGCTGTGTCCAGGGGGGGCGGTTTTGGGTTTGGGGGGGCATTATTTTGTTTTGGGGGAGGGGGTGTTTTTTTACTGGCAATATTCCTTATATGCCCCACCTGCCCTGGTGCTGGATGGTCTTCCAAACCGTGAAACGCTGGCCCTCATCGCCCTCGATGCATTGGCTCAGCTGCAGATAGGTCCCGTCCTCCTCGATGTGGTCGGCCACGTCTATGCAATAGCTGGGGCTCGAAGCCAAGCGAATCTTTCCATCTGCGCAAACCGAAAAATGGCCCGAAAATAAGGGAACACTGGGAGAAGGTGCCATATATCAAGCAAGGAATCTTAGCAAACCAGGGAAAGTGTGAGACAGGGTGGAAGAAGCATCCCTCCCACATAACGAATCCTCCAGGACCTCGCACGGCTCAAGCTTGACCGTTCACAGCTAAGGAATTCTGGTTTCCTTCAAAACTCAATAGTGTATTGTTTCATACTTCACTGGGTTTTGGCTATAGGCACCTTTCAAACCCATCGTGCTTTCTTTGCTCAGGAAAGGCATCATTGGCCGTCTCAAATTCCTAGACGTCAATCTTTTCCAAACCCAAACGGGGGGCTTTGACCATCCAGTCGGACTCCCGAGCTTGAGAATCTGCTGAATGCGGGCACGTTCCATCTTAGACAAAAACAAGACGAGGAATTTATTCAACCCCACGGCCCCATGAACAACGTGACGCTGGCCGCAACATGCTATTGTGCGGCACCTGTGCCCCAAATCCAATGCTGCCGCTGGCCAGACACATCCGATTCCTCGTCCTGCTCACAAGGGACCACCACGATACTCTGTCCGTTGCCCACGTGCCACGTAGCCGTGGCCAAGCAGAGGTTGGGGTATGCGCTCCAAATGAGCTGGCGCGGGCACGCCAAGCTCCCGGGATCAGGCAGCGAGGCAATGCCCCCGGAGTGGTCGACGTGCTCGCAGCCGGTGACCTGGGCCTGCTCGCAGGACTCTGCGAGCTGCAGCTGGGGCTGGGAGCCATCCGCCGTCAAGCACCGCTTCTTGTCGCTTCCGATGTACAATTTCCCGTCCAGCAGGAAGTGCTGGTTGTCAAGGCCCGAGCAGGGGGCGAGTCTGAGGCTCGAATCTCCATCCACTGCCTCCACACAGAGATAATGATTCATGGCCAGCTTCAATGCACCACCCCGCAAGCTCCAGTGAAACTGACTAGCTCCCTGATGGGTCTCAGCACAGTCTGCCAGCTGCATCCGCATTCCTTCCCTGAGGTGCCAGCCCGCGGTGGTCAGGCAAATCCCCCGGTGCTGCAGGAACTCCACTTGCCGACTGCACTGATCGGTGCAGGTGCCGAAGTCGAAGCTCTGCGAGGTGTCTTTCAATCGGCTCCAGAGCTGCACTTTCTGGCCCGGATTGGGCAAATGCCAGGAGACATCAAGCACCAAGGAGGAGTTCACCCATCTGATCTCTCCCTTTCGCAGAAACTCGAACTTCTGCGCCGAATAATATTTATCGGACTTGTTCACTGGCTTGTCAACGCAAGTCCATAGCTCAAGCCCTGACCCTTTGCCTTTCTCCGTATCGGCCACTTCAATACAGTAATGTGATGCTGTTGCCAAGCGTATCTTCCCGTCCGATGTAAAATGCCAGTCACTTTGATAGCCTGCGCCACAATTTTGCAAGTAGATCTGTGAACCGTTGGCAATTGTTGCGGCCGCCAAGCACATGGTGGGAAAATTTGACCAAATGATCTGCCGTCCGCAATGCGCTAAGGATGGGGACAACGCGTGTAGCTCGGACAAACCCTCCTCAACATTGCTGCCACATGCATGCAGCACACACAGGCAGGCGGCCCCTACAAGCACAAGGCTGGACAGCACATAGCAAGCCGAGCCCTTCAGGATGGTATAGTGACTGGGGCTGGTGTTCATCACCAACAGCTCGAACTCCACATTCTCGGCATCCACGAGATGGTGGCGCGGGCAAGGAAATAGCAAGAGCGATCTTTGATCGTCAGGCCCCACCATACCAACCTTCCGGATGCTCTCACACCGTGCATGCGCGTCTCGCAACTTGAGGCCGCGCTGCGGCATTCCCATGGAATGAATGGGCTGACCAAGAACCCTCTTGGCAGTTGTTCAAAAGAAAGAGTCCCAATTGGGGATGGGGGGCCCTTTTGGTTTCCCTTAAAAAAGCGAAAGCAAAAGCGAGTCATCTTTCCCCGTTTCAAAGACTCGCTGCACAAATGCCTCCTTCTCGCGTTTCCGCCTTTTTGCAGCTTCCTCCTCTTTCAGCCTGATCCAAGTGCATTGAACCCTCTCGCTTGTAGGTGCTAAGCCACGAAAATTTAAAAAAAAAAGGAACAAATGAGGGGGGAAAAAAGAGCTTCTCCTACAGAGTGAACCAAAACCACAAGTACGGCCTACGCTTCTCCTCCTCTCGCGTCCGTTTGCTCTCCTTCTCAGGCTTCGTCGATGTTTCCTTCTCTGCTGGCCTGAAACTGCCAATGCCCCGGCATTTGAGGCACACCTTTGCCGTGCAATGGGCTTCACGTTTACAAATGTGCTTCATTCAAGCTTGTCTTCTTTGCTTTGTTGCAAAACTACCCTCAGTTTCTTCCATCCCTGGGCTTTCGACATTTCGATTTATCTACCTTCCCTCAATATGCGTTGACGTTCATATTCTTGGATGCATCGGCTTTTGCTTCCCGCCTGCTTCGTGCCTGCCCTGCCTGTATGTCCCCTACTCAAAATTCCTACAACCTTTCTTCTTTCTTTGCACATCCAGGGCATTTACACGTTCATGGGTCTCGTCAACTGCCTGGCTACTTTGTCATCTGCCCCTCCTTCCTGCGGCTATTCCTCTTCGCTTCTTGCTGAATATGATTCTTCTTCAAAATGCTCTCTTCCTCTATCATTCCACTCCCATTCCATTTCACTCTGTGCCATACCCTCGATTCAGTTCTTGCCTTTCAAAGCATTGAAACATGCTCCCGACAGGGGCCCAAAAAATGCAGCTTTGGGTTTCCCCTCAAACCAATCTGCAAAATGTTCCCTCGCCATACAGAGACAAATACATATACACCTATAAACATATATGCCGCTCCCGTCGGCACCTCTCTCGAACGGGACCAAAGGGATTGCGGGCCGCCTGGCGTGGCTTTGGACTTCACTCCCCACTTGCCAACTCCGAAGCCTTGGTTCCGGTTGAAAAGAACCATTCCGGCAAATAACAAGCAACGGTGATAACATGGAATTCTGACATGGCACGGTTCCTCGCACCCCTGCCTTGAGCATATCCGATTGCTCCTGCATGAGGTAGGCATCCCATTGTTCACAGCATTTATCGGCGGAACTGTTTGAGTTGGTGTGCCTCATGGTTGGCATCTTTCTTCCTGTCCAGATTGCTTCTGTCTCTGTCCTCGCAGCAAGTCATTGCAAGGAAATCAGCAGGCATGCATCATGCGCTCCGGGCTCTTCTTGTCATCCTCGTCGGCTTCTGAGGGCTCCTGAATTGCGCCCAAGTGCCAAGACAATTTTAGAAAAGCTAAACATCTCCTCATCAGAGTCCAAAGCCTGCCAAGTAGCAAAAGCGGCAAAAGCAGCAGAAGTCCAAGCAGCGGCATAAGGCAGCGGAAGCGGCGGCCGAAACAGTGGCAACCTGGCGGCGGCGGCAGCGGCAGCGGCAGCGGCAGAAGCGGCAGCAGCAGGGGTGGTGAGCAAAAAACGGCCGACATGACAGACATGACGAAAAAGGAGATGCGGCAGTGGCAGACATGACAGACATGGGTAATCGTGCCAGAAGCGGAAGACGGCGGAAGCAGCGGCAGAAGCAGAACCGGCAGAAGCAGAACCGGCAGAAGCAGAAGTGGCAGAAGAACACAAGGCAGATGTAGCAGAAGCGGCAGAAGTGGCTGCGGGCAAACTCTGAAGAATCCAGGGCCCTGGCTCTCCTAGCAGCCTGTTTCCTGGCACTGAGGCAATGGAAACTGCCGCAGAAGTGCTTCCTGGCTCGCCTGCGCCATTCCATGACCAGCTTCTGTTTCCGCTCCTCTTCTACTTTGCGGCGTCTCTCCTCAAATCAAGCAGGTGACAATTCTGAGACCTAAATTGCGGTAAGGGTCTGTGTCACTGGTTTGCTGCAGAGGAAATGGGCTCCTAAAGGTCCAGTTCTTGCATATGAACAAGGGATGCAATCGATACACCATTCGGATGCAAAAAAGGAAAGGACTTGGGCAAAAAAACACATCGAATCCGCCATCGACTTTACCCTGGACTCAATCGGACCCGCCCCTGAATAGGCGCAATCGGCGCCTCCTCCTGCAACCTGTGGAACTCCGCCTCGTCCGCCGCCATCCTCCGCCGCCTCAGAGCTCGCCGTTTTCAGCGCGGCTCGCAGACCCACACACCCGCGTTGGAGTACACCAGAAGACCCTTCGAAAGTATTGCAAGGTGGGAGATCTGACCAAAAAACAACATTCGTGGGGACGAAGAACCGCGAGAAAAAGCGACACTCCCTCGTCAAACAACTCCTGCCATCTTGGTTTCCATGTGGTTTCCCAACCCAAAAAGGGGCATTGGACTCCCTGGGGCACCAAACTCCTCCGCCTCCCTGCGCCGCTCGAAGTCGCAGAACTCCCTCACCTCGTCCTCCGCGCGCTCCATGAGCTCCGCCCTCGCGAGCCGGCGCTGGGGGCAATTCGCGGAAGGCTGAGGCGCTGGGTGCGCAGAAATGTGGGCACCAAGAAGGCGCCAATGATGGGCTTAACGGATGACTACAGAATGACACAACTTACATCATGGGGTTGTGTTCCCCTTGAGAGGCACCTCGCATCTCGCACGGTCTGCAGACAGAATACGTTCACAACCATTGATTTGCGCAGCACTTGCCAGTCAATTGTGTGGCTGCGCAAATGAGTTTTCAATCAATGGCATCCTGGATATGATTTAACGCATGACAGAATTTTCTGGAAAACCCTGGCGTTAACCCCAACAAAAACCAACTGTTCCGGGGGTCCATTGCCTGACCCCTTTGAGACCCGCGAAAGGTCCAAACCAATTTGCAAGGCCCAGGCTCGAACTCTTCCCGAGTTTGCTCTTCAGCGAGCGCGGTAGCTTCCTCCACCTGGTGGCTTGAAACGGGAGGATGCCGCGTGCTTCACTTGACAACCTACATGCTAAGAGTCCCAATACGCAAGGTTTGTGTGAAACAAACAAAAAAACATGTCACTGGAAAATGCGCTCATCTACTCTGCGTTGGTATAACGCGACTGTTCTTGCCCATTGGGGTCATCGGACTCGTGAGCCCGCGGCCGCGCGGCTCTGCTCGTCCGCCCGTAGCATGGCCGCCCGCTCGATGGCCCGCAGCTCGCGCTCCCGTCTTCGCCGTTCTCGGACGCGGCGAAACGCGGCGGGATCTTTTCGGCTCGCAAGGAACAAGTTGGGAATGAACTGAATGACTGAATGACTGCATTACTGCATGACTGAATCACCGAATGGCTTAACAGTGCCGCTTCAGAAACGTTCGCTTCCCTAACTGGCAGGGCTGCTTGCATGTGTGTGTGTGTGTGCGTCATGAACCAAGGATGCGGCTTCGCTCCAAATCCACGCGTGCCTGCCCCATCGAAGAAATCCATGCGATCTCCGCCTTTCCCAGCTCGCGCACATGATCGCCTGCTCAGCACGGCGGCTGTCTCGGTCAGCTTTCGACATTGCCTGAGTGCCAACGGGACTGATCTGTGAAGTGACATGTTGCATGGGGTGCCCTGCCCGTGTTTCTGCGGCCTCTGCCTGGCAGCAAGCGGTTTGCGGCGCTTTGTCACCTAGGCATACTCTGGCTAACAACCGTCCGCGCCTCTTGAATCAAGTTCAAGTAGTCACGCTCAGCCTGAATCACGTAGTGCTGCCACGCCTGGCCAGGTCTGATTCAGACATCTCTTTGTCAAAGCTCCCTCGTCAGGAATTCGGAGTGTCGGTCGGCATCCAACGATGCCAGGCCTTGATTTCAGCATCAGCGGCCGCCATGGCCTTGGTGAGCCGAGAAATCAGCTCGGCCGAAGAAATTCCGCGAGGCCCCGGCTGCCTGCTCCAAGCCGGGGATCATCGGCGCCTGCCTCTTGCGCTCTGCCTGGAAAAAGCCCGTTCTCATGCACAAGTGCACTTGAAGGCCCACCTGACTGCTCATGTCTACAAATATTAATATTGTATGTATATATATATATATGTGTGTTATTGAGGGTACCCTTTCCACGTTGGAAACAAAAAGGAAACCCACCATAGGCGGGGGCTGTTTTGACACACACTCAACTATCTAGTTGCCTGACTGTATCCCTCCAAACCTGGAAGAAGCCGCCTCCACCAAGGCCACCAGCATTCGGCGCCGCTGCTTGCTGAGACTCGGATCCCTCAGCGAGTCGGCAGCCGCCTGCGCGACAAACTCAAGTGCCCCGAGTATGGCCACGCAGGATCAACCCGTCGCACCTGAAGTCTCTTGCTGCGGTCCAGGTCTTTCTCAGCCTCGCATATCGCAAAGCGCATGCTACATCTCGGTGTGGTGGAAAAGCAGACTTCGCTGGCGCATGACTAACCCTGTAAACCAAACCAACCAAACCAACCAAACCAACCAAACCAACCAAACCAACCCTTCAGAGGGATAAACCACCTACCGACCGGCACCCTCTGAACGCGCTTTTCCACACGTTCGTTTGTGGAAGACATGACGACAATCTTACACTGTTTCTTCACGTGCTCTCAAGGCTTTTGCGTTGTCTGTTTGAAGGTTCTTCCAGGCAACACGATGCGACAGAACCGTTCCGCGCCTTCGCCAGAACCGCCGCCGCGAAGTCGGCGTTCGCCACCTCCCACACGCCGCGGCGTTCCGCGAAGGCGGCCGCCTGGGTCCAGGAACCCCGAAAACCCGGAGTTCCCATCAAACATCCCCGGCCAAAAAAAAATGCTGCCCTCCCTTCCACAGCCAGAAGGCCCTGAAAGATCATTTCCCCTTGCAGGGCCCCCCCCAACAACAACAAAAAAGTGGCTCTGCGCCTGCTTTTGGCGCTCAGCCTCTTCAATGGCTACCTGCGGCAGCTGCGAAATGGGCAACAAAATGACAACTCGAGCAGAAAGAATCAGGACGGAAGCGTCCAACTCGAATTGGTTTCCTAAAAAACCGCTAGTATATAATATGAAAAGAGCTCAAAAAATGGCTCATTATGAGGCAACGGATACTTCGACCCATATCGCGCGGCCAAAATCCCTGCTCCAGCTGCCTCTAGTCCACCTGAGATGAGCCCGGGAACTTCCAAGCCCCCTCTCTGCCCCCCCCCAGGTCAAATCTAAAACCGGTCAAATTCCCCTCCAGAAACCGATCAAATCCACTCTAAAAACTGTAGAAGCCGGTCAGGTCCCCCTCTAGAAACCGATCAGATCAACTTGTAAAATTCCTCTTGGCAACCATTCCCTAGAAATGTGCCCACTGCCATTCTGTAGCCCTTGAAGCCACGTGGAAACGCGCGGACCTGCACTCACCCTCTACCATGGAAACCAGATCACGCATTTCGGTGCCGACTCGCACTCTACCAAACACAACACAAACTAAGACACAGTATATACCTCAAAGCCAGCCACAAGCGGACTGGCCGAGGCGGGCAACGCGAAGCGTTTACAAGTACACATTGCCAACACGGAAACATGCAGAGATAATACATGTGACTCTCAACATGAAACGGTCTCAAATACAAATCCTTGACCTCTGATTCCCAATCCTAATGCAGCATAAGATAAAAGGCTTCTACAGCTATTAATCATCTCTTTTTACCATCTTATCTTTTCCAAATGCTTGAATTATTGTAAAATGTGTTTATTGAAGTTAATAAGATAGAAATTCTAAAAATACAAACAAATAAAATAAAAAAAGACAAGATACAGAAAAGCTATTTTATTATGATCCAATATTAACCAATGTAAACTTCAGAAGCTATATCTCTTTCATAATATGTCCATCTCTTTTCATCTTCTTTGTTGGCGTTATTAAGATCCGAAAGTACAAGAAAAGACAATAAGACTTACAAATAATACACTTTTTATAATCTACAAATCTATTATCAACTTATCTTCGTTCCTCATCTTTTCATTTCCTATCTCATGTTAGGATTATTCCAAAAAGCATTATGACACTAATAAAATATCATGATGCAATAATTCTAAAGAAGATGACCAATGGGAAATCTCACCATCATAAAAGCTGTCTTTTCGTTCGGAATCTTCCAAAATAGTCCATGCCTGTAAAAACTTCTCCGTCCCATTCTTTCCGAATAACACATCTTGTTTTTTATTGCAGAGACAGTCTGCCATTTAGGGCAGAAAGTCCAGCATGTAAAATGTCGGCTCCCTCCCTCCTGACCGACCGATTTGTGTGTCAAAGGCGGGCCCCCAAACTGGATGTCCCTCTTCCCTGCCTCCCTTCGAACTCACCCGAAAGCCTGCGTACAGGAACCTTCAAAGCGCTGGTGGTGTCCTTCTGGCTCCCTTTAAAACCAACCAAACAGGCACGTCCCCAAAAACACGCAAACCCCAAGTGAGCCCGAGCCCAACGAAAAAGCGAGAAAAAACCCACCGACAATCCCGACCCCGACCGGTCGCGCCTGGCGCTGGCGCGCCTCCTCCGCCTCCTCCTCCCGCCTTCTCCTCTCCCGCTCTGCCGCCAGCGCCAGCAGCTCCTTCTCCCGGGGGCCCAAGACGTGCCTGGCGCGCTCTGCGCTACCGGCGAAAGTGAGTGCGCTACATCTCCATGTGGGCATTTGTTTGGAGCTGGCACCCCTTTTTGGTTGGTTTTTCACGGGAAGCCAAAGGAAAACCCACCACTTTAGGGGGGTTGAACACAGGAAATGTGCCAAACCTCCAACAAAACAAAGGATGTTTTGTAGACTGCCCTGTGGCTGCTTTCTTGGAGATATGTCGGGGTGCACGCAAATTCACATTGATCAGTGGCAAACGCCTAAGAATCGGCTTCTCTCAGAGGGCCCAACACCCTCAACTGACGTCGGTAACACCTGCGCTTTATCCAGAAACAAACTGAACCCTCACCTGCGCTTCACCCTTTGCAGGGACTATTTGGGGCTAGCCTAGGGGGTTGGGGGTGGCACCAATGCCAAACTCCAAGTTGCGCCATCCAGTCCATGCTCTCGCGGGGTGGGAATTAATCCCTTCCCTCTAAGAATAAATGATCCCCCCCCCCTCGAGGGCAAACCATTATCAATAGGGCAATTAAAGGTCGACCGGATTTCCTCTTCCGTCCTCCACGAAAACCGTCAAAACCGCAATTTCCGAGTGAGGAAGTTAAATGAATCCGTTCAAGGTTGGTTCTGGCGGTTCAAAAGTACAAGGCGCAATTTAAATTTGAATGCAACACACTCAAATATGTAGAAGATACATATCAATTTGTAAGGCACTATGACATGTGCTGGCCTACACCCGAATATGACTAGTGGCGGGATTGCCGGAAAAATCCGACATGTCACTATTGGTTTCGAATTTGCCTATTCCAAAAGTGGTATGGGGGACCCGGGTTTGGGACAAACAATATGTATCAGTAGGCCGAAATGATGAAGAAGGCAGATTTCCCACAAGGGCAATCCTGGGCTTAGCCCGCCTTGGGCTAAGTAAAGCATGAGGTGCCAACATAGGAGACCCCACCCTTAAAAAAAATGAGAGGGGCAGGGAGATGTTGTTCTCCCTTTGAACAACCCAAAAGAAGAGTACCCGTACAAACACAAAACCACCTGGAGCACTGAACCTGACCCCATTTAAAACCAAGCAACCCAGCGACTCAAAACGACCTTTCCAACATCGGCGGCGCGGCTCACAGCGGAGCATGAGGCCCCCCTGTGGCTGCTGGAAGTGGACCTCTCAAAGCCCCGTTAGCACAGCTGGCGCTTGTCCGGGGGCGCGGGGGGGGGGGGGGGGGAAATAGTAAAAGGAGAATTCAAAGAATTATTCTTTCTACTATTTTTTCCAACAGCAACACAACAAACAGAAAACAAAATCCAGAACAACAAGCAAACAAAATAAATAATCACAACCAGCAACAAAAATATTTAATCACAGCATGCAACATTAAATAATTCAAACAAGCATACCAACAAAACAGCAACACTCTAAATCATCAAAGAACCCAAACTCAAAAACACACATCAACAAAAAACAAAGCAACATACCAACAAAAAATATCACAAGAGTATCAAACAAAACAAAAACAAACAGTCAAAGCACGAAAAAATTGAAGAAGCATACCAAGCAACGCACTTTGAAAGAGATAAGCAAATTAGGAAAATATAATATTTCAATCTTTACAAACGATAAATATATTACAATTATAACATATAATATTTTACATGTGATAATCATAGTATGATTAAACCTGTTTTTAGTGTTTCCAGTCTCCTATGTTGTTCCAAGAACTGCTCAAAATGTTTCTGATATTATACCAGATTAAGTTAACGTCATAATCTTTCATTGGTGCTCTTTGTTGTATTAAATAACGCAACACTGATACCAAAGTATAATAATTACAATGCATTGTTGTCATTCCTCCTCTTTCATTAATACTATTACCATTACGTTTAACAAGTTCTTCTTTCATTATGTTTTCGTAAATCTCTTTTATCCATTGATGATTTTGTTCTCCATACTCAGCGAACATATCTGGATATATATCTTTCATTGTTTTATCGTTTTTAATTATTTCAATGACTTGTTTATACGATGGATAGGGATTATCCTTAATGAAACTCAATATTATCTTTCTATCCTGTTCCAGCTCTTTTTCTGTCACTCCTAGCATTGGCATTTTCCTCTTATTATATTAAGTATTTATTTCTTTAAGTCATTTAGTCAATATTTCAATCTTGTACAAATGACAAGTATGGATAAACAAATTCATATTGATTATGTTTGCACATGACATTGCAATGAGCTACCAGCCCATGATTAATCCACCCTTGATTGATCAACACATGATTAATCCACCCTTGGTTAATCAACACATGATTTTCGGAATGAAAATACACAGCCCCTAAAATTCATGAGCCGATTTTTGAATAATCATGCCTTGATTTTTTGAAATTCCCTCCATGATTAATCTCCCTAAGATTTTTGCTGTGTCTTGGGCAATGGTCGGCAAACCAATGGATGTGCGCCAGATCCGTCAAAAGGAGTTCTTATTTTTACGGTATTGTCGTTGGATGAGCCTAGAAGTTTCCAGTTTGAGCCCAAACCCAAATCCCTAATCCGTCAAGCTCACTAAGATTTCACAAATTAACTCGCTAGGTATTTTATATAAATCTTCCTGTTTATGTATTGTTGGATTGTCTCCCCATTGTTCCTTGTCTCCACTTGGCAAACGTTGCGCAGTTTCAATATGTTTATTATTCCTGATGTTACCACAATCCTTTTTACATAATTCTCTAGGTTTCCAAGTTGTAATGTTATTCCATAGCCTAGTCCTCTTTCTATAATTAAATCCATATTTACAATAATCAACATCTTTAAATTCAACCTCATCCATAAACTCCTGATGTTTTAATAATCCAGTTTGTGGATTTTCGATTACAAAATATTTAGGATTGAAATATTTGATAATCTCAATAGTTTTTAAGACAATACTATTTGCATATTCGATATTCCTAATTCCCCTAGTTTTTGCTATGCTGTATTCAGTGCATGGGGGACTACTCCAAATAAAATCAAAATGGTTTCTGTCAAACTGTTTGTAATCCCACTCCAAAATATCAGTGTTGATATCAGCATTTTTCAAGTCTAATGATATTACATTAAATCCAAGCGACTTTGCTATGGTTCCGACGCTTTTTGTTCCGCTAAATAATTCTAATAAATTCATTTATTAGAATTATTTAGATTATTAATTATTCAAATAATGTATATACTCCATCATCATTTTTTGAAATTTTATAAAATTCTAAAGTGGTGCTTTTAGGTTGTTTGATTTTTCCTGTATTCAACATATCACAGTATTTCTTTTGCTTTGTCGGGTAGTCGCCCGATGGTCTTCCTATAGATTTTGCTTGAAATATCTTTTCGATTTTTTCTTTATCTTCATTGCGTTCAACTGGTTTCATTTTGTCATCAATGGATTTAATCATATCATTTAAGGTTTTGATATTTTTACCAATTAATGTTATCTTCTTCATTAAATCATTAATAGTATAATGCTCATTTTCAGACATTACTATATATTTATTTAGATAATTATTTATTTAATTATACAATGTACCTGAATAATTTAATGTTATATATGTAAATAAATTATATTCTAAGAGTCTTTCATCAATTTTATTTTTCATTTGTATTAAACCTTCCTCGTCACCTGTAATTTCAAAAAATTTCAATATTTTACCAAAGTTATCTGGTTTAGTTATACCTTTCATTAAATATGTATCACTGAATTTAGCATCAAACCAATAAAAATATTCTTCACTCAATTGTTTAGCAAAGTTTTCATCACCATTGAATAGGTCTTTAATTTCTTCATTGTCAAAAGTTATAATTCTATGGTCTTGTCCATTCATAGTTGGCATTATGATTATATAAATAATTAGATATTTATTTATTTATTTAATTATATATATTTATAAAGTGCAATTATGTTAAATCTACTCTTTAAATACTAATTTTTCATGATTTGTTTAATAGTTTCCTGAGTTTCCTTATCACCATTTTCCGAGAGTGATGCATCCTTACCCCATTTAAAAGTTATATTATGGACATCAGTTTCTAAGTTGATACTGTCTTTAGTTTTATCAATACTCATTTTCTTATCATTTTTACTTATTTTGAAACTTGTTGGAATACATGAACATTTACAATTTCCTTTCTTTTGTATTTCTAACTCATTTTTAAGTTCTAACATCTTTTTGCACATAGGACAAGCAACCTCAATTACTGCTGTTTCTTTAACAATTTCTACGCTATCTTCATCTGTTGAAGAAACACTTAAACCTGTCTTATTCTTTTTGTTTTTCTTTTTTGGCATTTATATTAATATTTATATTTTTAATATATTGTATCAAAAACTTAATTAATTCAAAAAATAAAATAACATATTTTTTTACATCTATTATCAGTTATTAGTACTTGTCTATATTCTCCATTTCATCTATTATATTAATATAATCTGTATAACTCCTTTTCATATTAAATAATAAGATAAATTATTTTTTCATTTCTGTCTTTCTTTTCTTGTAAAGTTTTTTCATTGTATCGTCTTTATTCCATCTATATTCCACAAATTTCTGATGATGTTTTGAATTTAGATGTTTAAATAAATATTTGTCATCATAAGGTTTACCACAACTGCAATGGATAATAGTCATATAAATAATAAGATAAAATATTTATTTAATCTTATTATTTTCATGCATGATAGAATATTCGGAGGGCACAGCACTTGGGGTTTTATTTACAATGCATCAAACTAATTAGCTTCAATGCTCATTGATTGAAGCAATGGACGCATCGGCGATGCCTCGCGAAGCTTCGCGACATCCCGTTCCATTTAATATTAAATAGAACATGTATTTAAACTATTTTCTTTACTAAGTTTCATTGCAGTTGATAGACTAACATCTCTAATATTAATATCAATAACTTCTTGTACACTATTTATCATTTCATTTGTATACATATCGGGATAATCTTTCATACAATTTACTAACTTTCTAAAATTAAAATCTAGGTTATTGTCATTTTCAATTGAGGACTTGGATACTACGATATTTTGTTTTTTAATTGCCGATAAAAAGTATAACATTGTATCATAATATATTTGTTCAGTGTCGGGCACTAAGATATCACCAAATTTATATATCCTCCGAATACTAGCCACTTCACTTAAATTAATAGATTCTATTGCCATTATGATATAATTATATCATATTTTTTATTTTATAAGTATTTATAATATTATTTTTATTATGCCTGATGTAAAACCAATTGATGAAATCAAATATGACTTTAAGCAAAGTAAGCATGAGGTTGTCCCTAAATTGCCTATGAGAGCTATGATTGTCGGACCATCTGGAAGTGGAAAATCAACTTTACTTGTATCAATGATACTTGATATTTATAGAGGAGCATTTGAAAGAATTTTTATCTGGTCTCCATCAGTAAATTTGGATAGTATTTGGTTGCCAGTGAAGAAATACATTAAAGAAGGTTTGAAAGTAGATAATGATAAAGAACCGTGTTGGTGGGATGAGTTCAATGTTGAAGATTTAGAAAGAGTTATAGAAACTCAAAATAAAATAATTGAATATCAGAAAAAACAAGGAATGAAAAAGTTATTTAATATATTAGTTATATTGGATGATGTATCTGATAATCCGGCAATAACAAGAAATAACAAATTGTTAAATTCTTTATTTTGTAGAGGTCGTCATAGTGGAATATCAACACTTGTCAGTCTTCAAAAATCATCAACCGTACCACCAATTATTAGGGTAAATATAAGTCATTTGTTTTATTATAAAGTTAGAAATTTTAAAGAGATAGAAATATTGCAAGATGAATTATCAGCAATTGTTAGAAGCGATAATTTACATGAAAGCAAGAAACTAATTTATAAAATATATGAGACTGCCACTGATGAACCGCATAGTTTTTGATATATTAACCTTTTAGAAAAGAACCCAGAAAAAAAGGTTTATGAAAAAGTTGTCTCAATAGTTGAAAATTACTAATTAAATAATTAAATAATTAAAGAATTAAATATATTATATTATATGATATTTTATGATTTACAAATAGAAATTAAAAACCTTGTATTATCTTATAATTTAGGTGATGTTAGATTATTAAAAATAAAAAATAGTAATATTGTTAAAAAATAT